ACCCGTTGCTTGAAGTAAAGCTCTGTATATCTTGGCGTAACCAATTCCAGCGTTGTCTTCGTTGATCGAGAGCCGAGATTCATGCGCATGAACCACGAAAAAGGCCATATCCATCTCTAAGGATGGAATTTTTGCAACCATTTCAGACATTTGAGCAAGTCTGAATGAGTGCTTCTCATCACACTCAACATGGATGGGAAGTTCCTGCAGCAATTTCTCAACAGGCTCCAGTTTGCATGTGTTATCGCAGTTGAACAGATGAATTCGCTTTGTTGACTGCGCCATCTCTTCTCTAGCGCAACTTTTTTCGGTTTAAATGTAACTGTAGAAGAGAACTTCACAAAATCTAACACTTCACATTTGTCGATGAGATCAGTCGACTGAGCAATGTTTCCGAGAAAGCCTGTCACTCTCCTTGATCAGCATAGGTCACTGACGTAGATCCCTAAGTCACGCAAGATAGAAACTCGTAAATCGATCTAAAATGAAGATTCTCTAAAAAGCAATAGAGTTGCATTTGATAGAGGACAAAAATCGAATTCACCACAGCGCAAAAGAGATTAATTAATTCCTCACATGGCTTATGAGTTCCTTGTCAAAAAGATCATCTGTAAAATCACGTGATAAAATTCTCGGAAATCACACGAGGCCTCATAAAAGGGAAAATTCCCATCTTGCAACTTGAGTTTCATTTGGTGTCTCGTTTTGTTACACGAACACATTCACTCGGGCTGGAATAAGGATAAAACTCGTCTTTATATAAATCTTCAAAAATGGGGGTAAGTTTTACAATAACTTGGCTTATTTTCCACAACTTTTGCAGTTTCGGTTCGCTATTTTCCTCCACTGGTGATCGTAATTTGCGTCTGAAATGTTATATTATTCATTTGGATGTGTGACACTAATATTAATCCTTCCAAAAGGAAGTTTTTTTTTTTAGAAAAAAGCCATTAAGAACTGGGTCAGCTCTCGGCTATCGGTACAAGCCGAAGGTTTAGGCTCCGCTGAGGTAATGACTTTCAAACTTGGGCAAATGCGGACAAAAAATGTAATCGACTCAACTAAAACCTTCCCAGGAGAGATTGTTCGCTTCTCGGAAACTGAAAGTAAAATTCTATCTACAACTCGACCCCTAAACTTTCAGTTTAGGCAAATAAAAATGAAAGCCGAGTGCATGAAAGAGAATTTTGAAAAGAAATGAGTGACGAGAATTAATGAGTTTTGCTGGAAGAATTGGAGTTTGTGAATTAAAATCACGTCTTATTCTTACTTCCGGTAACTTTCGGGCATAGTTAGTAGAGGGGACTGGTTAGGAAACGCGGCAAACTTCAAAGGGCCGGCCTATTGTCTGTCCCCTGAGCTTCGCTGGAACGTCACGTGACCAATGACCCTGCACAGAACCAAAACACTATGAAGGACATGAACGACTTAATTTTCTTCGGCGACGATTTTGATGCCATATT